TTTAGAATTATACAATGATCTGTCTACTAGCCAATGCGACATCATATTTTGTTGGTTACCAAGCCATGTTGGAATCGTGGGCAATACAAAAGCTGACGCTGCAGCTAAAGCTGCCCTTGAAAAGTCTGTCTCTAATATTCTGATTCCACACTCTGATTTTAAATCTTGTATAAAAGATTATATCAGACATTTAAGGCAAACAAAGTGGAATACCCAGTTAGGTATGAACAAACTGCATGCAATAAAACCTACTCTTGGATATACCTACTTGGGTTGCCAGTCACGACACGATGAAGTTGTTTTACGACGATGTCGCATTGGCCATAGCCGTTATACCCATGAATATTTGCTTAAAGGTGAAGATCCTCCGTTTTGCATCCCTTGTGATGAGAGAATTACAATCAAGCATATTTTGCTTGATTGTATAGACTTTTCTCTCACAAGGGATTCTTATTATCATTCGTCTTTAAAGGATCTTTTTAATAATATCAACGTTCATATAATTCTCGGATTTTTAAAAGAAATAGAGTTATTTGATAAATTTTGAATTTTGAATTGTTTTAAATTAGTGTGATATTATTAACAACTGATATTATTGAAGGCGGTGCTACTCAGGGGGTTAAAGTAGCATAAAATTATTGTCCTCTTGACTCTGGCACGCAAGTCCATCTAAATAAAAGTGTGTAATATCAACTAGTGTTTTAACTACTTGACTATGGTTTGATCTTTTAATATTGGTTAGCATTGAAGATGACCACTTGTGACCAAAGTGATGACATAAATCCTGCTGGGAATCATGCAGGTAGCAAAGGCACTGTAAGTCCCCATGATCCCCAGTTAGGTGGTCTAGCTTTGGTTGCCAGAGGTATATAGCCCAGTTTTAACTTGTACCAAATCTACTGAAGAATTCTTTGTTTTTATTGTGAACTGGTTTGTTTTATACCTTAACTGTGATACATGACTTACTGTTTTACTGTCCTTTGTCGACGGATATATAATCATAATTAACTTGTTTTCATCGCAATATGGCTGCAATATTGCCGATGCGATGTAAAATTTTAACTCACTCACTCACTCAAGCAATGTTACTTGGGGTGACGTTTCTTTTGCGGTTCAGTATATATTACGTCAGAGGGTAAGTAATGTGTCAGAAACAGAAACCTGTTTCATATACAGTGGCGTTATTACATATATGCATAAAAAACAATTGCCTTCACAAATTGTTTTTACTTGCCTTTCCCGGCAATCCATCGGTCTGTCCCATAGAGTAAGATATTTTTCGGACAAATCCAACTGTTTTAATTTGTGGAAAAGGTTCCAAGCCGCAGAGGTCTACAAAAACAGTTATCGAAAGTGATCCCGCTTGGCTAGTGCCCTCACTAAATTGTTTCGCAATTTATATCTTCAAAGTTGCAAAAAACTTGTAAAATGCCTTAGCTACGTCACAGTTAGACACTGATTTTCAGTATATTTGATAGCAATTATCCCAGTAGTTTCTCCAGATTCACAATGGTTAATTCTGACTCGATTGCCAAATGACAAGGGCTACGCCATGTTTGTTTTTAAACAGTGAAAGTAGTCCCTTCTTGACCTTTGATATTTGCATCTCTATCAGAATATGACCCCAACGGATATCGTTTTTATCCGTTGGCTTTGTCCTGCCGAGAAACCCACCCATTATATTATAAACTGAAATATATATAGACACATCAATTCCGGGCGTATCAAATATGCAACAAAAACTATAAATACGCCATTGAAAAATGAATGATGTGAACATAACATCAATAGATATTAAAGGATTGATTATATTACAACTATCAGATAAAACGATTGTGTAACAGCTGATCTTGTGTAACAGCTGATCGCGGAATTCACTTACCGACAGTTACATTCGGAAAAGCTTCTGCAACAAAAATACTGATGGATGCCACATTGAAAACCACATCGTGCCTTGTCAATGTACATGTTGTATCTTCATTCGTCGCGGATTGGTAATTAAAACAATAGTGAGTAAGTGAGTATGGTTTTACGCCACTTTTAGCAACATAACGGCGGGGGGGCACCAGAAATGGGCTTCACACATTGTACCCATGTCGGGAATCGAACCCGGATCTTGGGCGTGACGAGCGAACGCTTTAACCACTAGGCTACCCGACCGCCCCATTAAAACAATATTCTTACAATGCTAGGTGGGGGCACGGGTGGCCCAGTCGTCTAAGGCGCCGCGATTCGCTCTGCAGAGTTGCATCCCTCGGGCACGCCAGAAACCTATGATAGTGGGTTCGAATCCCGGTTCACCCCGATTATGTTTCTAGGTTTGTCAGCACCATACCCGTGCTCGTGGATTTCATCGAAGTGGTAAACGTCTGAGACCTGCATCACTTCGGGCTTTCCTCCCACATTAAGCTGACACGCCGTGATATAACTGGAATAATGTTAAAAACGGCGTTAAACCCAACTCACTCACTCACTACAAGCAGGTGCAGATGAGTATACTACTATTCTCATAGTTTTAAACGATTTTCAGGGATTATTATGAAACAGGTTTAAAGTACAATACCCAAATGTCAAGAAATATGTGGGCAAAAAAATATGAAAACCATCTAAAACTTGTGGATACCCAATCAAAATAAAACCCTTGGTAAAATACCCCAATAACCAAAAGCTTGTTTTTTGCTCTGGAGATGAAATACAAAATATGCCCAACCATAAATGGTTAACACAAATGATGAAATGAATTATACAATTAGACAAAAATCAAATTAATTAATTTAAGCAGGCTGTTTCTTTGAGGGGATATTAAGCTGATCTGTTCAAATGTCTTGTAGAGGCCTAGAAAAGGTTCTTCTAAACTCCTCTAATTAAATTTTCTAATACTGATGAAGATACTGCTGCAGCATGTCAAGGGTTAAAATATGTGAGTGTTTGTTGTGTAAGGCTGTACTTGACTATTCCAGCAATGTGAAAGCAGCCAGTATACAATCGACTCTGGACCAGACAATGCATTAATTGATATTGCGAGTGACAGTCCACATCATTGGTGTGTGATGACCAAATCACTGAGCTTGACCATTCGATCATAGGGACCGACCATTTGATATTCCCTGTGGCGGGGAGGTGTTTCTCTTTTATAAACTTCATGCTCATGGCTTTAAATATCTGGTTTTATAGCTGTAGTTGAAAATAGTAATCTGATTCAAAATCCTAGCCACCCCTCAGAATATCAAATGGTCCTTCCCTAATAAGTCACTTCTAACAGCGACTTCTTCACGTTCTAACCTGGAATCCTACCCCACACACACACCACACACACCCCCCCCCCCCCCCCCCACTACACCCAAGGGTGATCAGGAATAGGGCCATGCTTCATAAGAAGTCTCGTCTGTTTGTTGTTTAACGCCGCACACAGCAATATTCCAGCTATAAGGTGGTCTGTAAATATTCAAGTCTTGACCAGATGATCAGGTAATTTGACATCATGAACATCAATCGCCACAACTTGAACACCACGATATGCATCAACAAAGTCACCTGATCCTGTTTGTTGATCACCCCTTAGGACAGGCATGGCTTGCTGAAGACCAATTCTAACCCAGATAAAAAAGCACCAATCGGTTGCCATGGTGACCAGATATTGGTACCATATTGGTTTGATAAACCTTAATACATTTGAACTGAATTCACTTTCTGAACTATGTTAGAAATGTTGACAGAACAAAACCATTGTTAAGTCACAAAGAAAAAACAACAAAGATTCACACTGGCTTTATTCCTTGGTTGCATCTTAAATAAGTTTCCATGAAAGGAGTGACCATATTCATCTTCTTGGGGCAGTTATTATTTTCACAGACAACACTCTACCGGGACTTTCTGTGTTTAAGCTCTGGGCCTAATTACGAAAAAATAAAAACATGTTATCCTAAGGCTCAATTTTGGAAGCTAACACTTTCTTACCCTACCCTTTGCTGAAAAAATCAGGATGTTAAGTTGTTTTAACTGAGAAAATATGAACCATGAATTTTAACTTTGAACCATACTTAAGGTTAATTGAACATAAGGATTTGCCTCAAAGTGCATCGGGACGTTCTAACTTTCGAAGGGAGTAAATTTATTTAAGGTAGATACGTCCAAAACAAATATCCGTTTTTAGACCCATGAGCGTAATAAGCATGGGACTCTATACGGGAAGTCCCCGTAAAAAATCAACATAATTCCGGAAAGAAAGAAACACATGTTTATTTTTGTTGCAAATGTCCGTTGCATTTATAAAAAAAGTGTTGAAGAAATTGTGAAAAGCATCAATTGAAAGTCCCAGTGCCCACCTTGGTCTCCAAAAATATATTGTAATATTTCATAATCAACACACTTCGTCTGCCCAGGGGTACATAGGGGCAGGGTTAGTCAGACGAGTGAAAATCTAGAACTTGTCTTCCCAAATCTAGTTATATACAAAAGCATCTTCTCCGAAATGAGTGAGTTTTAACGCCGCTTTTAACAGTATTCCAGTTACATCGCAGCATGTCAGCTTAATGTGGGAGGAAAGCCCAAAGTGATGCAGGTCTCAGACGTTTACCACTTCAGTGAAACCCACGAGCACGGGTATGGTGCTGACAAACCTAGAAACATAATCGGGGTGAACCAGGATTCGAACCCATGATCATAGGTTTCTGGTGTGCCCAAGGGACGCAACTCTGCACAGCGAATTGCAGCACCTTAGACGACTGGGCCACCCGTGCCCCTTTGTCCGAAATGAGCTGGACATGACCCACAGTGTTTACCCCTGCATAACATAGCTAACATACAGCTAACACAACACACAGTGCAGGTTGTTATGACACACACAACTGGAGGCCACACCAGTGTCAGTGAGTTGGGTTTAACGCCGCTTTTAACAGTATCCCAGTTATATCGCGGCATGTCAGCTTAATGTGGGAGGAAAGCCCGAAGTGATGCAGGACACAGACGTTACCACTTCAGTGAAACCCACTAGCACGGGCATGGTGCTGACAAACCTAGAAACATAATTGGGGCGAACAGGGATTCAAACCCACAATCCTAGGTTTCTGGCGTGCACAAGGGAAGCAGCTCTGCACAGCGAATCGCGGTGCCTTAGAGGACTGGGCCCCCTGGAGGCCACACTAACCTGACAACACATGATGCACAATGAGCTGACATGTGAGCTGAGAAGAGCTGTGGAGACGTAGCATGATCTGAAAACCTCCATCCTGTGGAGGTAGATCTGTTCGTCCTGCAAGTGAGTAGGATGTCACACTGGACATTGAAGTCATATAACAAAATACCTGAGGTTGAGCTTGGACCACTGAGTTGTGGGTAGTATGAGAGGGTTTTGGTTGTTTTTGTTGTTTAACACCGCACTCAGCAATGTTCCAGCTATATGATGGCGGTCTGTAAATAATCGAGTCTGGACCAGACATTCCAGTGATTGATACCATGAGCATCGATCCATGAAATTGGGATGTGATGACATGCATCAAGTCAGCGAGCCTGACCACCCGATCACGTTAGTCGCCTCTTAAGACAAGCAGTCTTTCCTTTTACAGCAAGCATGGGTTGCTGAAGACCTATTCTACCCCGGATCTCCACGGGTCTGGTGGGTAGTATGAGAAGTGAATGGTCAATGTTTGGAGAGAACAGCATTCTCATCCATTGTGAGTTTAAGAAATCAGCATCTATTTTGGTCATCTGGTTTTCACTTACGTTTGTTTGTCCATAAAGTGAGGGAGGGAGGAAGTTGGGTTCAATGCTGCTTTTAACAGTATTCCAGTTATACTGCGTCACCTTGATGTGGAAGGAAACCCGAAGTGATGCAGGTCTCAGACATTTACCACTTTGGTAAAACCCACAGGCACGAGTATGGTGCTGACAAACCTAATCAGGACGAATAGGTTCCTGGCATTCTTAGTGACACACTTTGTACAGCAAATTGAGGCATCTCAGACGACTTGGCAATCCGTGCCCTCATTGGCTATACAACTATGATAATGTAAATAGTAAATACTGTGAGTTCCCTGTCAGAAGTACTTATTACCATTTACACATGAAGAAAACAACTTAATAATGAATGAGTGACTGAAATGTGTCTACCACCCCTTTACAATTCAGTGGTATCATTGCGTGTCAATTTAATGCGCGAGGAGAGCCCCCATAACAAGAAAAATCGTATATTGGAGAGAAACAAAGTATATCCACGTAACATTACTTCCACAAACAAATACAGATCTACGCATATCACCACCTTTACATAATCAACCACACAAGCACACACATCATAAGATCTGAATTTATAAATATGCAACATAGCACTTTCATGATTTTCGGCCGAGCTACCAACATTTGCACATGGATCATGTCTGTTTATGAACACGCTAAATCCCACTGCAGCGTCCTCACAACGGCATGTTGGCATGTTTCTTCCAGGGGTTCTCCATCTTCTTGCTGGACAACACCTCCAAGTCCTGGCAGATGCGCTGTCTGGTAGTCCTGGGCTCAATGATGTCATCGACATAGCCTGAAACATGCAGAGAACAACAGTCAACCACACTCATAAACCTTCTGCCTCGTTTACCTAATAGGCTAAAAAAATAATAGTTTTGGTTCTCAGGCACTGCCCGCATCATCACAAAGTCTACCGCACGTTGCGTTTAAATTTCCATTTTCAAAAAAATCAAAAAATCCTGACACTTAAAAACAATATAACACACAGTTGCTTTCCTTTACATCTTGTGTTATGGTCATGGCGGCAGGGGGAGTTTGTTTGATTGTTTATGTGGGGAGTTTCTTTTCCCAGATTGATCGTACACAACAATTATTTGGTTACATACAACTCTGAATACCGACCACAGGCAGTGGAAACTTCCTGTGCTGTGTTCCCAGAGAACAGAGAAAACAGCTCACCCAAAGCCACAATCCCTCCGCACATGCACGCCGGGACCACGTGGCCAAGCCCAGTAACTCATCTCTTTATTTTCCTTCTAAATGGTCCAAAACACATCAGCGGAAAGAGGGGAAGGCCGGAGGGCACTCATGTGTAGGGGTCAGGATAAGTATAAATCCTGACTCATACTTGTGCTTGCATCTCACAGTAGGCGGTGGGTTCCACCTGTATGTGTGACTAACGCCCATCTGTTCTGTAAACCCCATGGGAACATTGGTTGATTTCTGTGATGTTTTCTTCTTAATCCTTCTACTGGGGCACCGCTTTCCTTTTTTGTGAGCAGAAATATTGAAAGAAATCGTTTTAGATTTTGTGGGATTTGGAAGGTTTGTGAAGATTTGTAAGATCTTGCTTGCCTTAGACGATTCAAGTATTAAGAGAAGATTGATTATCTTAACACAATTGTTATCACTCGTGCGCTAAAACAGGGGAGCATGGACTCTCAGTCGTTGATTATGGACCAGCAGAGTGACTTCCATGAGTCGGGGTGATTTGTGGGAGAGTGTATCTTGCCTATCTTCTGGTAGGTTTTCATGAGTTGCTGCGCAATGACACATGGTCTGAATTGATGAGTGCCTGCTACATCTTCTGTAGTGAAATCTCTGAGGTAATGATTGGCGAAGACTGTATCGGATTACCAAAAGCAGCCTTCCATGATTGATGGTATCAAGCAGTTGCCAAGAAGTGCTAGTATTGAGACATAGCTCTCACTTCATGAGGGTTGGAGGCTGATTGGGGATCCAAACCGGCCGCTCTGCAAGCTCTCAGAATGACAGCTCTCTTCCAAATGATTGGTTGTTTTGTTGTTTAACGCCACACTCAGCAATATTCCAGCTAGATGACGGCGGTCCGTAAATAATCGAGTCTGGACCAGACAATCCAGTGATTAATATCATGAGCATCGATCCACGCAATTGGGATCAATGACATGCATCAACCAAGTCAGCGAGCCTGACCACCCGATCCCGTTAGTCGCCTTTTACGACAAGCATAGTCGCCTTTTACGGCAAGCATGGGTTGCTGAAGACCTATTCTACCCCGGATCTTCACGGGTCTTACCGGCAGTGACAATGAAGGGTGGTGTATCAGTGTGAAAATACTCGGGCGTGTCGTCCTCAGCCGTCTACTAAAATCAGTGATCCGATCCTATTCATGTCTAGCAACATGGTGTGATCGTCTGGTTACAGTATTACATCTAAGTTATCATGCAACCCAATCTGTAAAGTGCACTGCACGGCTCATATTAGAGCAGTGTGACCTAATTTCAGCATAATTGGGTTTGTTTACAGGCGGCGAAATCTGACATGTAATGCATCCTGTGCAGAAATAACACATTCTGCCGGGGTTGGGCGAGGTCCAATGCTCCATACACTGACACTCCAGTGTGAGCTCTATGGTAGGTAGACAAAGTCATGTGTGGAGTGCGTTTAGGTGAGCTGTTTTGTCTGTTCTCTAGGACCAAAGCACAGGAAGTTTCCACTACCTATTCGGAAATGAGAGAGATAAGTATGAGTCTGGATAAGATAAAATTGACAGGATTTAACCAAAGACGGTCGTCTAAATCTGAAAAATAGCATACAGAAGGATGGCATGCATTGCTGTAATTTTACTTGGCTGCCTTAGGTCACGTGCTTGATTTTGACCAATTCTATCTAACTAATTTCTATCCAATAAAATCGCATGTTACAATGACGAAAATACTCCTACCGAGCTGACTGTAGTGATATTGATGTTCAGAGATTTCTAATGATACCACACATCGAGCGAATCTTCACAAGTGTTATTTATACAAAGCTTCGATAACAGAGATATTTCCCAGAATTTTCTCATTATTATCAGGAATATGTCATGATAAATTGTACTTAACATTCTTTTTATCATCATTTTCCGATTACTTTAACAACAAAAATTTATATCTTAAAATTGCCGCCCAAATTGCCATACTTTTCACTTCCTTGGTGCTCAATCTGGATGTTATGAATGCGTGAGCTTAAATTTTTTTTAGCAAAATTAATTAAGTCATAAATGCATTATTCAAATAATGTGATAAACATAACTTTCATCTATATAAACGGTAGGACTAGGCCTTTCAAAGGAAGACACAGAGTAGCAAAGATGTTTTACAAGTTGATAATTCCCACAATAAATGTACACTTCATCTATCACCACAGAGTCTCTGGGAGGTCAGTTTGACAGCAGTAAAAGCCTCTGGTTGACTGGTTGTGTTTTGTAATCTATATTGCAAGGGCTTGTCTCCCTGCTTCAGCTAAAATGTTTGGGCCTCAGGCTATCAGTTTACTCTGCTAAGTTGGTCGACACTGGTTGCTGAAGACCAATTCGAACCCGGATCTTCACAGGTGACATATAAAGACTGCCAGTGTCTGAAGACTGGGGATCTCTGTGTCACATCTGTGGAGAGTTTTAGTTACCTGGATCTTCACAGGTGACATATAAAGACTGTTTGCCCGTGTCTGAAGACTGGGGATCTCTGTGTCACATCTGTGGAGAGTTTTAGTTACATGGATCTTCACAGGTGACATATAAAGACTGCCAGTGTCTGAAGACTGGGGATCTCTGTGTCACATCTGTGGAGAGTTTTAGTTACCTGGATCTTCACAGGTGACATATAAAGACTGCCAGTGTCTGAAGACTGGGGATCTCTGTGTCACATCTGTGGAGAGTTTTAGTTACCTGGATCTTCACAGGTGACATATAAAGACTGCCAGTGTCTGAAGACTGGGGATCTCTGTGTCACATCTGTGGAGAGTTTTAGTTACCTGGATCTTCACAGGTGACATATAAAGACTGCCAGTGTCTGAAGACTGGGGATCTCTGTGTCACATCTGTGGAGAGTTTTAGTTACCTGGATCTTCACAGGTGACATATAAAGACTGCCAGTGTCTGAAGACTGGGGATCTCTGTGTCACATCTGTGGAGAGTTTTAGTTACCTGGATCTTCACAGGTGACATATAAAGACTGTCAGTGTCTCAAGACTGGGGATCTCTGTGTCACATCTGTGGAGAGTTTTAGTTACCTGGATCTTCACAGGTGACATATAAAGACTGCCAGTGTCTGAAGACTGGGGAATCTCTGTGTCACATCTGTGGAGAGTTTTAGTTACCTGGATCTTCACAGGTGACATATAAAGACTGCCAGTGTCTGCCGACTGGGGATCTCTGTGTCACATCTGTGGAGAGTTTTAGTTACCTGGATCTTCACAGGTGACATATAAAGACTGCCAGTGTCTGAAGACTGGGGATCTCTGTGTCACATCTGTGGAGAGTTTTAGTTACCTGGGATCTTCACAGGTGACATATAAAGACTGCCAGTGTCTGAAGACTGGGGATCTCTGTGTCACATCTGTGGAGAGTTTTAGTTACCTGGATCTTCACAGGTGACATATAAAGACTGTTTCCCAGTGTCTGAAGACTGAGGATCTCTGTGTCACATCTGTGGAGAGTTTTAGTTACCTGGATCTTCACAGGTGACATATAAAGACTGTTTGCCCGTGTCTGAAGACTGGGGATCTCTGTGTCACATCTGTGGAGAGTTTTAGTTACCTGGATCTTCACAGGTGACATATAAAGACTGCCAGTGTCTCAAGACTGGGGATCTCTGTGTCACATCTGTGGAGAGTTTTAGTTACCTGGATCTTCACAGGTGACATATAAAGACTGTTTGCTAGTGTCTGAAGACTGGGGATCTCTGTGTCACATCTGTGGAGAGTTTTAGTTACCTGGATCTTCACAGGTGACATATAAAGACTGTTTGCCAGTGTCTGAAGACTGGGGATCTCTGTGTCACATCTGTGGAGAGTTTTAGTTACATGGATCTTCACAGGTGACATATAAAGACTGCCAGTGTCTGAAGACTGGGGATCTCTGTGTCACATCTGTGGAGAGTTTTAGTTACCTGGATCTTCACAGGTGACATATAAAGACTGTTTGCCAGTGTCTGAAGACTGGGGATCTCTGTGTCACATCTGTGGAGAGTTTTAGTTACCTGGATCTTCACAGGTGACATATAAAGACTGCCCGTGTCTGAAGCCTGGGGATCTCTGTGTCACATCTGTGGAGAGTTTTAGTTACCTGGATCTTCACAGGTGACATATAAACACTGTTTGCCAGTGTCTGAAGACTGGGGATCTCTGTGTCACATCTGTGGAGAGTTTTAGTTACCTGGATCTTCACAGGTGACATATAAAGACTGCCCGTGTCTGAAGACTGGGGATCTCTGTGTCACATCTGTGGAGAGTTTTAGTTACCTGGATCTTCACAGGTGACATATAAAGACTGCCCGTGTCTGAAGACTGGGGATCTCTGTGTCACATCTGTGGAGAGTTTTAGTTACCTGGATCTTCACAGGTGACATATAAAGACTGCCAGTGTCTGAAGACTGGGGATCTCTGTGTCACATCTGTGGAGAGTTTTAGTTACCTGGATCTTCACAGGTGACATATAAAGACTGTTTGCCCGTGTCTGAAGACAGGGGATCTCTGTGTCACATCTGTGGAGAGTTTTAGTTACCTGGATCTTCACAGGTGACATATAAAGACTGTTTGCCCGTGTCTGAAGACTGGGGATCTCTGTGTCACATCTGTGGAGAGTTTTAGTTACCTGGATCTTCACAGGTGACATATAAAGACTGTTTGCCAGTGTCTGAAGACTGGGGATCTCTGTGTCACATCTGTGGAGAGTTTTAGTTACCTGGATCTTCACAGGTGACATATAAAGACTGCCAGTGTCTGAAGACTGGGGATCTCTGTGTCACATCTGTGGAGAGTTTTAGTTACCTGGATCTTCACAGGTGACATATAAAGACTGTTTGCCAGTGTCTGAAGACTGGGGATCTCTGTGTCACATCTGTGGAGAGTTTTAGTTACCTGGATCTTCACAGGTGACATATAAAGACTGTTTGCCCGTGTCTGAAGACTGGGGATCTCTGTGTCACATCTGTGGAGAGTTTTAGTTACCTGGATCTTCACAGGTTACATATAAAGACTGCCAGTGTCTCAAGACTGGGGATCTCTGTGTCACATCTGTGGAGAGTTTTAGTTACCTGGATCTTCACAGGTGACATATAAAGACTGTTTGCCAGTGTCTGAAGACTGGGGATCTCTGTGTCACATCTGTGGAGAGTTTTAGTTACCTGGATCTTCACAGGTGACATATAAAGACTGCCAGTGTCTGAAGACTGGGGATCTCTGTGTCACATCTGTGGAGAGTTTTAGTTACCTGGATCTTCACAGGTGACATATAAAGACTGCCAGTGTCTGAAGACTGGGGATCTCTGTGTCACATCTGTGGAGAGTTTTAGTTACCTGGATCTTCACAGGTGACATATAAAGACTGCCCGTGTCTGAAGACTGGGGATCTCCGTGTCACATCTGTGGAGAGTTTTAGTTACCTGGATCTTCACAGGTGACATATAAAGACTGCCAGTGTCTCAAGACTGGGGATCTCTGTGTCACATCTGTGGAGAGTTTTAGTTACCTGGATCTTCACAGGTGACATATAAAGACTGCCAGTGTCTGAAGACTGGGGATCTCTGTGTCACATCTGTGGAGAGTTTTAGTTACCTGGATCTTCACAGGTGACATATAAAGACTGCCCGTGTCTGAAGACTGGGGATCTCTGTGTCACATCTGTGGAGAGTTTTAGTTACCTGGATCTTCACAGGTGACATATAAAGACTGCCAGTGTCTGAAGACTGGGGATCTCTGTGTCACATCTGTGGAGAGTTTTAGTTACCTGGATCTTCACAGGTGACATATAAAGACTGTTTGCCCGTGTCTGAAGACTGGGGATCTCTGTGTCACATCTGTGGAGAGTTTTAGTTACCTGGATCTTCACAGGTGACATATAAAGACTGCCAGTGTCTCAAGACTGGGGATCTCTGTGTCACATCTGTGGAGAGTTTTAGTTACCTGGATCTTCACAGGTGACATATAAAGACTGTTTGCCAGTGTCTGAAGACTGGGGATCTCTGTGTCACATCTGTGGAGAGTTTTAGTTACCTGGATCTTCACAGGTGACATATAAAGACTGCCAGTGTCTGAAGACTGGGGATCTCTGTGTCACATCTGTGGAGAGTTTTAGTTACCTGGATCTTCACAGGTGACATATAAAGACTGCCAGTGTCTGAAGACTGGGGATCTCTGTGTCACATCTGTGGAGAGTTTTAGTTACCTGGATCTTCACAGGTGACATATAAAGACTGCCCGTGTCTGAAGACTGGGGATCTCCGTGTCACATCTTTGGAGAGTTTTAGTTACCTGGATCTTCACAGGTGACATATAAAGACTGCCAGTGTCTGAAGACTGGGGATCTCTGTGTCACATCTGTGGAGAGTTTTAGTTACCTGGATCTTCACAGGTGACATATAAAGACTGCCAGTGTCTGAAGACTGGGGATCTCTGTGTCACATCTGTGGAGAGTTTTAGTTACCTGGATCTTCACAGGTGACATATAAAGACTGCCCGTGTCTGAAGACTGGGGATCTCTGTGTCACATCTGTGGAGAGTTTTAGTTACCTGGATCTTCACAGGTGACATATAAAGACTGCCCGTGTCTGAAGACTGGGGATCTCTGTGTCACATCTGTGGAGAGTTTTAGTTACCTGGATCTTCACAGGTGACATATAAAGACTGCCAGTGTCTGAAGACTGGGGATCTCTGTGTCACATCTGTGGAGAGTTTTAGTTACCTGGATCTTCACAGGTGACATATAAAGACTGCCAGTGTCTGAAGACTGGGGATCTCTGTGTCACATCTGTGGAGAGTTTTAGTTACCTGGATCTTCACAGGTGACATATAAAGACTGCCCGTGTCTGAAGACTGGGGATCTCTGTGTCACATCTGTGGAGAGTTTTAGTTACCTGGATCTTCACAGGTGACATATAAAGACTGCCAGTGTCTGAAGACTGGGGATCTCTGTGTCACATCTGTGGAGAGTTTTAGTTACCTGGATCTTCACAGGTGACATATAAAGACTGCCAGTGTCTGAAGACTGGGGATCTCTGTGTCACATCTGTGGAGAGTTTTAGTTACCTGGATCTTCACAGGTGACATATAAAGACTGCCAGTGTCTGAAGACTGGGGATCTCTGTGTCACATCTGTGGAGAGTTTTAGTTACCTGGATCTTCACAGGTGACATATAAAGACTGTTTGCCAGTGTCTGAAGACTGGGGATCTCTGTGTCACATCTGTGGAGAGTTTTAGTTACCTGGATCTTCACAGGTGACATATAAAGACTGTTTGCCAGTGTCTGAAGACTGGGGATCTCTGTGTCACATCTGTGGAGAGTTTTAGTTACCTGGATCTTCACAGGTGACATATAAAGACTGTTTGCCAGTGTCTGAAGACTGGGGATCTCTGTGTCACATCTGTGGAGAGTTTTAGTTACCTGGATCTTCACAGGTGACATATAAAGACTGTTTGCTAGTGTCTGAAGACTGGGGATCTCTGTGTCACATCTGTGGAGAGTTTTAGTTACCTGGATCTTCACAGGTGACATATAAAGACTGTTTGCTAGTGTCTGAAGACTGGGGATCTCTGTGTCACATCTGTGGAGAGTTTTAGTTACCTGGATCTTCACAGGTGACATATAAAGACTGCCAGTGTCTGAAGACTGGGGATCTCTGTGTCACATCTGTGGAGAGTTTTAGTTACCTGGATCTTCACAGGTGACATATAAAGACTGCCAGTGTCTGAAGACTGGGGATCTCTGTGTCACATCTGTGGAGAGTTTTAGTTACCTGGATCTTCACAGGTGACATATAAAGACTGCCAGTGTCTGAAGACTGGGGATCTCTGTGTCACATCTGTGGAGAGTTTTAGTTACCTGGATCTTCACAGGTGACATATAAAGACTGCCAGTGTCTGAAGACTGGGGATCTCTGTGTCACATCTGTGGAGAGTTTTAGTTACCTGGATCTTCACAGGTGACATATAAAGACTGTTTGCCCGTGTCTGAAGACTGGGGATCTCTGTGTCACATCTGTGGAGAGTTTTAGTTACCTGGATCTTCACAGGTGACATATAAAGACTGTTTGCTAGTGTCTGCCGACTGGGGATCTCTGTGTCACATCTGTGGAGAGTTTTAGTTACCTGGATCTTCACAGGTGACATATAAAGACTGCCAGTGTCTGAAGACTGGGGATCTCTGTGTCACATCTGTGGAGAGTTTTAGTTACCTGGATCTTCACAGGTGACATATAAAGACTGTTTGCTAGTGTCTGAAGACTGGGGATCTCTGTGTCACATCTGTGGAGGGTTTTAGTCACCTGGATCTTCACAGGTGACATATAAAGACTGTTTGCCAGTGTCTGAAGACTGGGGATCTCTGTGTCACATCTGTGGAGAGTTTTAGTTACCTCGATCAGCAGCAGGGAAGGGGTTGGCAAACTTTTCAATGTATTCCTTCTCCTGGTCTGCCTGGGTGTTGCTGCCTCGGAAGATGATGGACACGGCACCCTGGTGGGGTATACAGACATCACTACTAGTGAAGTATCACTGTTAACTGCCAAATAGTTCTGACAATAGTGCCTCACCTACTTGTTTGAATAAACAAATTCCATTCTGATCTCCACTTACTGACTTTGCATGGCACCTTTTGCAGAATGTTGATGAATTTTAATATGTTTCAGTTCAAATTGATTATTTAGGTTACCTATTGCCTGAGAACCAATGGGTTTTTTTCCAGCCTTATGGACTATAATTTTGACATGTGTTCAGCGCTAATTGACATCTGGTGATTACACAGGTTAATTACAGCGCCGCCGGCAAGATGACATAGAGTTGGGGCATTGTTGCCTTGTAATAGCATGTATCGATACAATCTACATTATCATGTATTTTTGATACGTGTTTGTTAAGTTAGGTAGCACAGTCAGTCAATACAGTGACAAAAGTCAATACAGTGAGAAAAGTTTAAGTAATGGGAAACAGAATCTTTCAAAAAATACTCTTCAAAGAGATAATTCCATGTAGCTCATAATTCAGTAAACAGTATTTCACCTTCGCTCCCATGACAGCAACCTCAGCAGTGGGCCAGCAGTAGTTGGTGTCGCCACGGAGATGTTTGGAGCTCATCACATCATAGGCACCGCCATATGCCTACAACAACAACACTAGGGTAAGGACTCCTTCGTACTCCATATGCCTACAACAACACTAGGGTAAGGACTCCTTCATACTCCATATGCCTACAACAACAACACTAGGGTAAGGACTCCTTCGTACTCCATATGCCTACAACAACAACACTAGGGTAAGGACTCCTTCGTACTCCATATGCCTACAACAACAACACTAGGGTAAGGACTCCTTCGTACTCCATATGCCTACAACAACAACACTAGGGTTAGGACTCCTTCGTACTCCATATGCCTACAACAACAACACTAGGGTAAGGACTCCTTCTTACTCCATATGCCTACAACAACAACACTAGGGTAAGGACTCCTTCTTACTCCATATGCCTACAACAACAACACTAGGGTAAGGACTCCTTCGTACTCCATATGCCTACAACAACACTAGGGTAAGGACTCCTTCGTACTCCATATGCCTACAACAACAACACTAGGGTAAGGACTCCTTCGTACTCCATATGCCTACAACAACACTAGGGTAAGGACTCCTTCGTACTCCATATGCCTACAACAACAACACTAGGGTAAGGACTCCTTCGTACTCCATATGCCTACAACAACAACACTAGGGTAAGGACTCCTTCGTACTCCATATGCCTACAACAACAACACTAAGGTAAGGACTCCTTCGTACTCCATATGCCTACAACAACAACACTAGGGTAAGGACTCCTTCGTACTCCATATGCCTACAACAACAACACTAGGGTAAGGACTCCTTCGTACTCCATATGCCTACAACAACAACACTAGGGTAAGGACTCCTTCGTACTCCATATGCCTACAACAACAACACTAGGGTAAGGACTCCTTCGTACTCCATATGCCTACAACAACAACACTAGGGTTAGGACTCCTTCGCACTCCATATGCCTACAACAACAACACTAGGGTAAGGACTCCTTCGTACTCGAGAGTCTGCCCGGAGAGCGGAAGGTCCGGGGTTTGATCCAGCCACGTCATACCAAAAGACTTTAAAAGATGGTACTTGTTGTTACCCTACCTGGAGCTCAGCATTAAGGGGCTCTTGTCTTGTCTTGTCTTGACAAAGACTGGTTGGCTCCGAGTTAGTATACTGTGTCTGAGTGGGGTATTCATGTTATACTGCAGCATGGATGGTACTTGTTGTGGAGCTAGCACTATGAATCGGCATCAGTCCGGACTAGTACAAGCAGCCACACACAAACACATGCATGCATGTCGCTATGTAAGTGTAATAATCTTGGACGCGATGTTAAACCCCATTTCACCTCACCTCACCTTGAGTTTATTTAAATCAAGGCGTGTCATCTTATGTGTTCATAGGTAACCCAGGATTTGAAGCCATGGTCATTGATTTCTGGGATGCCCAAAGGACACAACTCTGCATAGCAAATTGCGCTGTTCTAGATGACTGGGTGACCATGACCCCATATGTTACCATATGAGTATTTGATGCCCGGAAATGCTATCTGAGTCAATACAGTGTCCCCACCTTTCTGGTAATAACTGTGATCTTGGGCACTGTAGCTTCTGCGTATGCATACAACAGCTTAGCTCCATGGCGGATAATTCCTCCATACTCTTGACTCGTACCTGTAGAAGCAAAACATGACAACTGACAACAGATGATGAAACTCCATCACAAACATTTAAGCATACAGCTTCTGAGACATATTTTCTTCAAGTTATATGTCATGAAGTCATGGAAATAAAGATATTTCTGAGCGATCAATAACATTACTATATCATGATGCCATTCTGCATGAAGATTGGTTGGTTGGTTGGTTTGTTGTTTAACGCCGCACTCAGAAATATTCCAGCTATATGACGGCGGTCTGTAAATAATCGAGTCTGGACCAGACAATCCAGTGATTAATATCATGACCCTGCATCAACCAAGTCAGCGAGCCTGACCACCTGATCACGTTAGTCGCCTCTTACAACTAGCATAGTCACCTTTTACGGTAAGCATGGGTTGCTGAAGACCTATTCTACCCCGGATCTTCACGGGTGGAACCGAGGATACCTCCACAGGAGGTCATGTGAGGTAAACCCTGTGCCAACTTTCACTAAGCAGTCTTAGGGAAGGGTGGACCAACTCCAGGGTCTAGTGGTAGAGCGTCCGCCCAGGGAGGGGAAGGTCCAGGGTTCAATCCCCGGCCACGTCATACACAAAGACATTAAAGGATGGTACTTGTTGTTATCCTGCCTGGAGCTCGGCATTAAGGGGCTAAAACAAGGACTGGTTGGCTCGAAGTCAGTATACTGTGTCTGAGTGGGGTATTCATGTTGAACTGCGGCATGGTATTTCAGTGGGCTAGCACTATAAAATCGGCATCAGTCCGAACTGGTACAATCACCCCCCCACACACACACCACCCCGCTCACTGGCTGAGGAGAGATGAGATGAGATGAGATGAAGTGGGGTTTAACGTCGCGTCCAAGATTATTGCACTTATATAGCGACGTGTATGTACGTGAGTGTGTTTGTGTGGCTGCTTGTACTAGTCCGGACTGATGCCGATTTATAGTGCTAGCTCACTGAGATACCATGCCGCAGTGTAACATGAATATCCCACTCAGACACTGTTTACTGACTCCGAGCCGACCAGTCCTTGTTTTAGCCCCTTAATGCCGAGTTAGACAAGAAGTACCATCTTTTAACCTCTTTTGGTATGATGCCGCCCGTGATCGAACCCCGGACCTTCCTCTCTCCGGGCAGACCCTCTACCACTAGACCACGGAGACGGTCTGGCTGAGGAGAGAAATTGTGACCTCCTATGTAGGTGTCTTCAGATCATCATGCAGAGGTCTTGTTGTTTGTTTGTTTGATGCTGCACTCAGCAAAATTCCAGCTGTATGACAGCGGTCTGTAAATAATCGGGTCTGGACCAGACAATCCAGTGATTGACATCATGAGCATCAATCCATGCAATTCGGATACGATGACATGCATCAACCAAGTCAGCGACAAAGTGGTAGTAGTAGCGGTGGTGGCAGTGGCAGTGGTAATGGGTACCCGGTAGGATAAGATGGTAATGTGAATTTTACGCTCACAGGCAGCGTAGGGATCTGAGAAATGAAGATCGAGTGTACGCTGATCGACTGACCAGGGTAATAATAAAGTAGTGCTTTGAGCATTCCTCTGTGTGGTGTGGATCACACTATATATGGCCTTAGTAGTAGTAGTAGTAGTAGTAGTAGTAGTAGTAGTAGTAGTAGCTAGGACTAAGGGTGAATCCTGTTCTAAAGATAGGCCTATTTGTGCCCACATTGTGTAGAATATGCAGAGGGGCCTCCCTTGAATGTAAATGTTACATCGTGATGAGGCCAACAAATTTGTAATGTGGATGGAAAACTGTTTATTTTGAAACTACCTAGCCATTCGTGAGCATGCCAGTGAAGCATCCTCCTCCATCATCACCTTACCTGGCAGGAATCCTGGGACGTCGACGAAGGTGATGATTGGGATATTAAAGGCATCACAGAACCTCACAAACCTGGCTCCCTTCACTGATGCATTGATGTCCAGACAACCTGGCGGGAACAGAAAGATTTGAATCAGGTCATGATCTGCAGCTTTGTTTGTTTGTTGTTTTTGTTTGTTTGTTTGTTTGATGTTTAATGCTGCACTCTAAATATTCCAGTTATATGATGGGGGTCTGTAAATAATCGAGTCTGGACCAGATGATCCAGTGATTGTCATTATGAGCATCAATTGGGATATGATGACATGCATCAACCAAGTCAGCGAGCGTGACCCACTGATTCCGTTAGTCGCCTCTTATGACAAGCATAGTTGCCTTTTGCAGCAAGCATGGGTTGCTGAAGACCTATTCCACCCCAGATCTTCACGGGTCCACTAGAAAAGTAAAAATAAAAAGGTACAGATGCTGTATCTAAAACACTATTGACCTTGTTCATGATGCACACACTGATAAATATATCAGCTTGCACTTACCAGACTGCAGACCCTCACCCATATTGTAACCACATGGTCAAAACTCAATGATGATGTTTATTGCAAGCAATGGGTATTTGAGTATTATTGATATACAAATTTGACCTGTCACTGGACAGACATCTCAGTCATTTACCAATCTTGTGAAAATCAGATTTTTTAACATAATAATATATGATAATAATAATATGCTCTGAATATTATGTGCGAAAATACGACAAACCAATCAGAATGCGCGTATGATGTTAAGTTCTTCGTCAAAGAATCCCTCAGAAATAATTTTTGATTCTACATATGTCTTGCATCTAAACATATACCCAAGAAACAGTTAAATGTGTTCAATCATACTGCACGTCCCAATGTGTTTTAAATTGCATCTGAAATATATAAAATACATGGGGAAATAATATGTGAACCATTACGCAACAAGTTGACAATTGTTTTAGGTATCCCCGTTTGCGCTAAGACGGGACCCATTCACAAAAATGGCCATGAGAGGGGCACGAGTCGCTATTCGGCTTGTCCCGGAATAACACGAGTTGGTCACGAATGATGATTACACTGAAGATGTGAATATAACCTGAGCAGCTGTATTCATGACGCCTGAAGTCTGTTGATCAGCACCATGGTTACACTCACAAGGAGACTGTTACAATAGTCAGTTCTGGATATGATTAGAGACAGTACAAGTTTTACTGAAGAGCAGTTTCTGACATATGGTATCAGATGGTGTGATTAGCTGTTTGGCACAACCTGGTCAAATGATGTTTGTTTGTTTGTTGTTTGACGCCGCAGACAATCCAGTGATTGATAGCATTAGCATTGATCCTTGAAATTCGGATAGGATAACATTTATCAACCAAGTCAGCGAGCCTGACAACCTGATCCCGTTTGTCAGGCTAGTTGACTTGGTTGATGCATGTCATCGTATCCCAGTTGCATGTACTGATGCTCATGATATCAATCACTGGATTGTCTGGTCAAGACTCATACTCTGGTCAGGTACCTTATCAGAGCCAACAATGACAGCATCACCTACAACAATGTCTACATGAAGATCTGAGGACACCTCCGCAGGAGGTAAACTTTCTAATCAGCCAATCAGTGTTGAGGTTTCTAAATCCTCGGTACAAGTGAGTGAAGTAGTCAGACCAGCATATCTGATTTCTGCACGTCGAAAACGAAGGAAAACTACAAGTTCAGAATGTGGATAAATAAAGCTGCTCCATTATATTGTCATTCCTAAGAGCCATGGCATCTACACCCAATACGAGTGCAATCAAGCAAATAATTGTATTCTGTGTGGGATTTCATTTTTCAAAGATTTGGAGATGGTAAAGAAATGAAGCCAAAACATTTCAGAAAGCTTACATCTAATTGGATCAAGAACCAATCTTTGTTCACTTAAGGTTGCTTTGCTTGGCACGACCAGAAATGACATGACACGACATGACATGACATCACACAAGGTGTCCTCAGATCTTCACACAGAGTAATAGATCTTAGTGAGACAGGATCAGATACCAGCAACAGATCTTAGTGAGACAGGATCAGTTACCAACAATGGATCTGAGTTAGACAGGATCAGTTACCAGCAATAGATCTTAGTGAGACAGGATCAGTTACCAGCACTAGATCTTAGTTAGACAGGATCAGTTACCAGCACTAAATCTTAGTGAGACAGGATCAGATACCAGCAATAGATCTTAGTGAGACAGGATCAGTTACCAGTAATAGATCTTAGTGAGACAAGATCAGTTACCAGCAATGGATCTGAGTGAGACAGGATCAGTTACCAGCAATAGATCTTAGTGAGACAGGATCAGTTACCAGCAATAGATCTTAGTGAGACAGGATCAGTTACCAGCAATGGATCTGAGTGAGACAGGATCAGTTACCAGCAATAGATCTTAGTGAGACAGGATCAGTTACCAGCAATAGATCTTAGTGAGACAGGATCAGTTATAGATCTTAGTGAGACAGGATCAGTTACCAGCACTAGATCTTAGTGAGACAGGATCAGTTACCAGCAATAGATCTTAGTGAGACAGGATCAGTTATAGATCTTAGTGAGACAGGATCAGTTACCAGCACTAGATCTTAGTGAGACAGGATCAGTTACCAGCAATAGATCTTAGTGAGACAGGATCAGTTATAGATCTTAGTGAGACAGGATCAGTTACCAGCACTAGATCTTAGTGAGACAGGATCAGTTACCAGTAATAGATCTTAGTGAGACAGGATCAGTTACCAGTAATAGATCTTAGTGAGACAGGATCAGTTACCAGTAATAGATCTTAGTGAGACAGGATCAGTTACCAGTAATAGATCTTAGTGAGACAGGATCAGTTCCCAGTAATAAATCTTAGTGAGACAGGATCAGTTCCCAGTAATAAATCTTAGTGAGACAGGATCAGATACCAGCAATAGATCTTAGTGAGACAGGATCAGTTACCAGCTGCTACTTTTGGCTGATTCCCAACCAGGCCCACCGTGCGTCCGTTCATCCTGGCGAACCCAATAACGATGTTCTTGGCATAATTCGTCATTATCTCAAAAAAGTCCTGTTCATCCACGACCTGTAAACATGAAAGGGTTGACCATATGAACATTCTTGCTGTTAACGACTCTGATGAAATGTGATCACATGTTAATGACCAAATCGATCTTTCCTACTAGTTGCATCATTTCAACAGTGCGCTGACTGTTGAGACGTCATTAATTTTTAGTTTGTGAATGTTATAGCAGCCAGCATATACATTAGTCGGACCCTATTAAATCGAGATCTGTTATCTCGAGCTAACGATATCTCCCTATGTATCTCCCTTTGAAACCTATTCTCTAGTACCACTTGGCCAAGTTATCTAAGATGTGAAATTTGCTGTGCAGAGTTGCATCCCTTGGGTGCACCAGAAACCTATAATCATGGCTTGATTATGTCACAAGGTCTGTCAGCACTATACCCGTGCTCGTGGGTTTCGCCGAAGTGGTAAACGTCTGAGACCTGCATCACTTTGGGCATTCCTCCCACATTAAGCTGACATGCTGTGATATAACTGGAATATTGTTGAAAGCGGCGTTCAACTCAACTCACTCACTCACTCTCCGTTTCCTGACCACCTCACTACATAAATATATCAAATTTGACCGCTTATCTCCAATTTGAGATAAATATACATAACACTATCTCGAACTTTGGACTCCAACCCAGCTTTGACTTTACTATAGTAAAGTACCATTATCTCTGAGTCAGCCTTTGCAAAAATTAACAGTTTTGAGAAGCGCAAATAGATATTTCACAAAGCGGTAAGCCCTTCTACATGTATATGTAGTACCTGTATAACCTTTATTGACAAACAAAACAATGTCAGAAGATATAACCCAAACCTTGGCAGCACTTCCTGGTAACAATAAAGGAATCCAAGGGGACACAACTCAAGGTCAACATGGTTGACATGAATGTCTATCTCGAACGCCTGGATATCTCAAAATTACAACATACCTACTGGCACCTATTCTTACCCAAGGGGGTTTAAAACTTCAGGCAGCTGTACTTTGTTTCTTCATGATTGTTGCTATAAGTAGCACAGAAGTAACATAAACTCAGGCACACAACAATCTGTATCTTACCCCAAGTATGACATCCTTGATGTCGTAGGCGGCTGTGGATTCAAGGGGGACAACTGTGTCGAGACCAGGCACCAACCTGTCCCTGAAGGAGAGAAATTCTCAACACACATGAAACAGCACATGGACATGTCTTTTACTTTCAAAACATGAACTTCACTTGGTCTTGTCGCTATATGGCTGAAATAATGCTGATGCGACGTTAAATTTTAACTCACTTACTCAAAACATGAACAATATAGATGTCACGTGGCAATACTATGTGGCTGATGTCAAACATTCCAGTGACCATGGACTGGAATTAATCTGTTTCCAATATACATCCTATACTTTATTCGTGACCATGTTGACACTTGACAATTACTTTACTTGTAACAATTACTAGTATACAATATATACATATACACCATATTCAACATAATAAGCACCCCGCTCTAATAAGGGCCCACAGTGATATTTGCTAATATATTGGCTGATGAACAATCCCATTTAGCACCCTTCCGATGGATCAATGTACACAAGACTTATTTATTCGTGTAAAATATGCACTTGTGTGTTATATGCAGCCTTAATTATGGGCAAGTAAATTGTGGAAAATATATCTATCATGGTCTTTTGTATCATTTCAGGCTGTCAGCATAAAAAAAACCAAAGAAAACATTTTCTCACAAAAATATATTCTAATAAGAGCCCCCTATTTCTAATTTTGAAGGCACCCTGGGCGCTTATTACATGGTGTATATATATATGGGTGGGGGTGGGGTGGAGAGATGGGGGGGTTGACATTGGACAGTTACAATATGCGTATTTATTGTGCCTCAAAGTGAGATTGGTCTAACCAATCAGAGAGCAGAACTACTGACCCCACATGAGCCCGTATGCCGACAGTAAAAATCCAAGATGGTTGTTACTGACCTTGAATTTTCCAACACCCACTTCACATATTTCACAAGAAAATTCTGGTGCTGTAATTTTTTTTTCGACACTGTTTTGTGTTTTTATATCATTCATTGTGATGTGCAGGGAAATTAATCTTGTTTAAATCACGTTTGTGACTTTATTGATGACAAGGTTTGGCCTCGAAGGTTTGAAGTGTAGTCTCCCTTTGACCCTTAACGGCATACATAGCTTACACGAGTAGTACGATATGGATACCTAGTGCATAGCGTAAACTTTTCAGCATAATAAAATTTGCTATGGTGTCTTTAGTTGCTGTATATGGTGTCATATTAGGTTAGCAAGAAAATATTGGGCGAGGCTAACTGCTAACTGCTAACCAAATATGACACCGTATACGGCAACTAAAGACGCCATAACTAATAGCATCTGTAGAGGCTATGACAAGGTGAGATAAAACTGCATATAGGAAAACATCCCTGTGATCTTAGACTGCATTCAGTTTCTGTTTAAAAATATATCCACATAAATCTTCAAACTTGACATTGGTTTTTACTGATGGCATTACATCATTTTGAAAACAATGGTATTTTTAAAAAAAATCCAGTTTGTTTCTTTCTTTGTCTGAGGACAGTGAGACATTTATCAGATTTTCTTATCATGATAACACTATGATACACTGTTCCGGCAGCCTAGAGTGACCACCTACATAAAACCACTGACCATGGGTCATCACACTGTCTGACAGGGGCGTCGTCCTTGTTGCTGAGTGGGAGGTAGTTGTAGAAGTCCCGCAGCTGTAGGAGGGCGTCAACATCGTTCTCAAATGCTTTGTGGGCGACACCTGGAGCCATGAGTGAGTGAGTGAGTGAGTATGGTTTTACGACGCTTTTAGCAATATTCCAGCAATATCCCGGTGGGGGACACCAGAAATGGGCTTCACACATTGTACGCATGTCGGGAATCGAACCCGGGTCTTCGGCGTGACGAGTAAACGCTTTAACCACTAGGCTACCCGACCACACACCCCCGGAGCAATGAAAGGCCATCAGGACTGGCAATAGGCTGAGTGAGGGAGGTATGTTTATGGTGCTTCAAGCAATATTCCAGCAATATTCCAGCAGGAACACCAGATATGGGCTTCACACTGTACCCATGTGATGTTAGGACTAGAAAGAGGCTGAGTGAGTGAGTGAGTTGGGCTTAACACTACTGTAGAACAGTCTGTGAAGGATCTGTTATATCAATCAACCTGAGATGGACTAGTCAAAGCAGCAGGTGTCATACTGACCTTACTATGATGGTCCAGTCCAAGCAGTATCTATGATATCGACGTACCCGAGATGGGCTGGTCTATGCAGTATCTGTGATATCAACCTTCCCGAGATGGGCTGGTCTATGCAGTATCTGTGATATCAACCTACCCGTGATGGGCTAGTTAATGCAGTATCTGTGACATCAACCTACCCGAGATGGGCTGGTCTGTGCAGTATCTGTGACATCAACCTTCCCGAGATGGGCTGGTCTATGCAGTATCTGTGATATCAACCTACCCGAGATGGGCTAGTTTATGCAGTATCTGTGACATCAACTTAACCAAGATGGGCTGGTCTATGCAGTATCTGTGATATCAACCTACCCGAAATGGGCTAGTTTATGCAGTATCTGTGATATCAACCTACCCAAGATGGGCTGGTCTAAGCAGTATCTGTGATATCGACCTACCCGAGATGGGCTAATAAAAGCAGTATCTGTAATATGACCTACCTTAGAAAGGCAGGTCTAAGCAGTATCTGTAATATGACCTACCTGAGAAAGGCAAGTCTAAGCAGTATCTGTAATATGGACCTACCGGAGATGGGCTAGTAAAAGCAGTATCTGTGATATGGACCTACCAGAGACTGATGTGTGTGTTTTAGCCCCTCCAAGTTCTTCTTGAGTCACATCTTCATTTGTAACGGACTGCAACAACAAAACAACAGCATTATCATCTAGTCAGAAACATCACAAAACTACAATCAGGGCCTCGTTCCACAAAGTGATCTTAGCACTACGGCTGTTGTAAATCTATGTTAAAGTATGAGAGTTACGTTCGCCTTAGCGCTAAGCTCATTTCATTGAACAAGGTCCTGGGCTCACTTGCACAAAGCGATCTAAGCGCTAAGATGATCATAACTCCCATACATTAACATAGGCTTACAATAGTCTTAGCGCTAAGATCGCTTTGTGCATGTGGACGCTGGACTTCAAGTATTTGTTGAGATTACCATTTAGTACTTGATTACTGATCTGTACATGATGTAAACCATCTTCCCGAGGCAAGAGAGTTAACTGAAGTCCAGTTTCCACCCTTGCCGAACTAGGCTGGTATTATGGAGTTACATTTTGGCTGGACTAATGAGTCTATGCATAGTCCAATCAAAATCGCACAGCGAAATTGAAACCTGGTCTGTAAACGGTCGTGTAGATTTCGGTCGTTTGCATGAATTGCAAAGCATGTACACTGCTAACTGTACACTACCAACTCGTCAAGAGATATTTTCCAAATCTTTTCATGCTTTTAATCAAGGTGCTCACACAATTTGATACACTTCGCGATGTAAAACCAGTTTTATTACACTATAGAACTTGATTATCGATCAGATGGTCTTGAATGGGTGCCACCAATTTGTTTGATACAAATGCAAGTGATACGAGAATCTGATTGGTCTATAGGAGGGGCTCAGAAGGGACATAACTCGTAATAACCACTAGTGGCACTATGATCGAGCCCAGGAATTACAGCCTAGTTCGGCAAGGGTGGAAACTGGACTTTTAAAGTCAGTTAACTCCCTTGCTTCGGGAAGATGATGTAAACATACATTAATGGCCACAATGACTTCTCTGCTTAAACACAAGGCTAAAAAAAACCCCAATAGTCTTGGTTCTCAGGCACCGCCCACATCATCATAAAGTTCAGCACATGCTTCATTTTTATTTCCATCTTCAAAACAATTAAAAAAAACTTACTACTTAAAAACAATGTGATCCAATATAGCACATAGTTATTTCCCTTTACATGTGCACTGCTTTACTGCGCATCTCGTGTTACGGTCATGGCGGCAATAGGAGTTTGCTTGTTTATGTAGGGAGGCCCTTTCCTGGGTTGGTGGTACAACTGTTTATTTGGTGACATACTTGTTTGAACAACAAAGTAGATAACAACTTCCTTATTTATTGTAAAGACAGTGTTTCAGTATATAAGGATCTGTACCAAAATGTCGCCTTTACAGTAAATAAAGAAGTTGTTATCCATAAATTGTGTCTACTTTGTCATCCGTCAACTTCTAAGTAATGCCTATCAAACAATTTAGTTTGAACAAGCAAAAAATAAATAAATCACCGCCCACTCTATATTGCCCAAAGTCATTGTCTAAGAACCAATTCTTTTATTTTTTTAGCCAAAAACTCTTATAAAAATCTGCCATCACTTATTCTCAGCATATACTGTTCAACTTTGGATAGGGATAGTATTTTCTTGACATGATAAACAAAATTGATTCTCTTAGGATTTAAACAAATAAAAGAATTGGTTCTCAGGCAATGGTTTTTGAAAATATAGTGTGGGCGGGCTGTATCTTTTTTTCAGTTCTTTAAAACTAGTATGTAACCAAATAAACAGTTGTTTAACCAAATAAACAGTTATGTACAATCAACCCGGGAAAGGGCCTCCCTATATAAATGAATTCCTTGATGAGCAAAATACTGGAATACAGTATTTGACTACCGTTGGACTTGGACTTTGTTTGTTTTAAAACCAATCGTATATCTAGCAATGTTATAAAGGCAATGTCAATTATAAAACTCTATTTCCTCACTCAAGTCTAATGATGTTTTTGAGTAACCTTGGCCTGTGGCCTAGAGATTTACATGCTGAATAAACACGTGATATGTATTGTTTTGGACAACAATTCTAAAAAGCAAATATTCTGAAAAAAGACCTCAGTGCTATTATTCTAACCAAAAATCAATTGTTTACTTTGCGTAACACCTTGCAACATTCCTGTTTTCTATTCAGTGAATTGACTAGTTGCCACAATACAATTTGTACCGATCTGAATGACCTTGACCCCTGTAGACCTGGGTTAGGGATAGATCTTCAGCAACCCATGCTTGCCATAAAAGGCAACTATGCTTGTCATAAAAAGCGACTAATAGGATTGGCTCGTCAGGCTCGCTGACTTGATTGATGCATGTCATCGTATTCCAATTGTGTGGATCGACGCTCATGATATTGATTACTGGATTGTCTGACTCGATTATTTACAGACCGCCGTCATACAGCTGGAAATTTGCCGAGTACAGCGTTAAACAACAAACAATACAATTCGAATGACAAGTCACGTGTTTAAACTGAAATCTATGGCATACTAGATATATCAAGTCTTGGCCATGCAGGAACAACTAACATAGCTTGAAATGATTGCAGTGACTATTTTGAGAACAGTCTCAGTTTAGAAAGATTGTATCGAAAAACATGCCGGTACAATTACCAATTTTAACATATGGTCAAAATGACCAAGCTAATATATTTACATATTCATGGACTTTCTCAGGCGATACACTGAGACGTTGTAACCATGGTAACATAAAAGAAAAATCAAAATAATGTCAGGATTGATGGGAGGTTAATTATTCAAACAGAGGCACGGGTGGCCAATCATCTAAGGCGCTGCCATTCACTGTGCGGAGTTTCGTGTCTTGGGCATGCTAGAAACCGATGATTATGGGTTTGGAATACCCAATCACCCTGATTATGTCTCTAGGTTTGTCAGCACCATACCCGTGCTTGTTATAAACGTCTGAGACCTGCATCACTTCAGCTTTCATCCCACAGTAAGCTGACATGTCATGATATATCTGGAATACTGTTCAAGGCGCTTTAAACCCAACTCACTCAACACATTGTCAATCAAACAGGGGGCACGGGTGGCCCAGTCGTCTAAGGCACCGCGATTCGCCGTGCAGAGTTGCGTCTCTTGGGCACGCCAGAAATCTATGATTGTGGGTTCCAATCCCGGTTCGCCCCGATTATGTTTCCAGGTTTGTCAGCACCATACTCGTGCTCGTGGGTTTCACTGAAATGGTAAACGTCTGAGACCTGCATCACTTCGGGCTTTCCTCCCACATTAAGCTGACACGCAGTGATATAACTGGAATACTGTTAAAAGCGGCGTTTAACCCAACTCACTCACTCACTCACTCACTCAAACAATGTCCTGAAAATACTCGGGAAATAAATGTGAAGTGAAAAATATAGCTAAAAAACGTGTTCCACATCCTCAATTTAACATCAACCTTTCCCTCAAAAAACATTTTTTTACTTTTCAAATGAGGGCAGGTGCATTCATAAAATAAGAAAATGTGGTCTGGTCTATAAACAAATGATAAAACACAAAAGTTTCCAAGAATTAGACACAAGGTTGCCCTTCAGAACTGTACCAACAACCAAACTATCTGGCAAGCACAATCAGTTTACTGTTTCCTCAAAACCTTTTTTTATAAGCAAACCTTTTTCACAAAAACATTTCAACATTTAGCAGCTCTGCAAACAGAATCCAAAACACCATTAATCTAAAAGGAAAAACTGCAAATACAAATATACATGCTCTCAATTTCAACACTGTAGCTGAATAGATCTTCTGTTGACCTGAACTGTATCACCTTCAAATGTTTGTTTGTTCAAAATACTTGAATTTCATGCTCCATACACAAGTGCATTAGGAGACTGCATCAGGAATGCAGGTTTGTAAACGTTAACATCTGAGGTGCACCTAATCCCTGGTTCAAAAATTAATTAATTCGAATATTTTTTATGTATTTTTTCTCATCAATGTGTTTCTAAAGTCATTAAAAAATAATATTTTATTACTTTTGGAAGAAATAACCCTTAAAATCTCATTTTTGTTACATTTTTTTAATTATTTGACATAATTTAAGACATAACAAATTCTAATTACGATTATATATAATGACCCTTTAAATACTGTAAATCATGAAATTACTGTGCTACCAAATTAACACGATTCCTGGCCTAAAAGGTGTAAAAATAATGCCAGTAGCTTTGTGCCTTTAAACAATAAAGAACAATCAGCAAATGATGTCACCAAGACTGTAGACTGCCATGGTTGGATGGCCGTTTGATTGAATATCGTTTGCTATCTTCACTCCTTGACATGTGATCTAACTTCCATGAAATCAAAAGCAGGATATTCCAAATACCGTATTTGACGTAATAAGCGCTCAGGGCGCTCTCAAAATTAGAAATAGGGGGCTCTTATTAGAATATGATTTTGGTGGGAAAAAAACATAATTGAAAGATGGTAAATTTCGTGGTTTATGCTGACAGCCTGAAATGTTTATATACGACAGATATACTTTTCCAGAATTTAATATCCCATAATTAAGGATGCATATAACACACGTATTATACACGAATAGATAAGCCTTGTGTACATTGATCAATTGGAAGGGGTGCTAATTAGGATTGTTCTCTACCCAATATATTGGCCTTGGGCGCTTATTAGAGGGGGCGCTTATTACGTCGAATACGGTAACCCATATTCAAATGAGATGATTCGGGTGTCTGACGAAGATTGTACAGGTTGTATGTGCTGTGAAACAATTTACTGTATTTCGACGTAGAAATTAGAAATAGGGGGCTCTTATTAGAATATTATTTTGGTGAAAAAAACAGTTGAAAGATAAATTTCGTGGTTTATGCTGACAGCCTGAAATGTTTATGTACAACAGTTATATTTTTCCAGAATTTAACTGCCCATAATTAAGGGTGCATATAACACACGAGTGCGTATTATACACAAATAAATAAGTCTTGTGTACATTGATCAATCGGAAGGATTGCTAATTGGGATTGTTCACTAGCCAATATATTAGCAAATATCGCCCTTATTAGAGCGGTG